CAGAACCCCAACGACTGCTGGTATTCACTCAACTCACACGGGTGACGCTATAAGCCCGTTTTGAACCAAAAAATCAACTACACGTTAAAAGAATTTCTGGTAAATACGAAAAGAGAGCAAACAGAGCAAGTGAAGGAATAGAAAAATCCATAAATGCAAGTATTTCATTTTTATTTCTCTTTATAAATCTGAATAAGTTAGCAAATTTAATCTAATAGATTTTGTAATTTATGAAGAATAAATTCGAATGCCGTGTTACAGCCGCAGAAAAAGATGATGTAACTTGTTGTGGGTGCTGTAATTATCGACTGGACGAAATCATTTGTCAAGAAAATTTACTTTAAAGAACAATCTACCCCAGTTAACCTGATTAGTAGCACATTATTTTTTTCGTAGTAATACGTTCAATCTTTTTAATTCTGCTTGATTTCTCAATCTGACTTTTTTTTCTTTTTTAATTGTTGTATTATTTTATTTTTTTTTACTTTTATTATTTACATTATAGTGCTGACAACTGCAAAATTATCATGTCTAAGAAATATATATTTTGCTCATATCTATTTGATTTTAACATGTGATGTGATGTGGGTGGCAATTAAGGGTAATATATGATTATTCGGATTGAATAAAATAGTAAACTGGCGAAATAGGCGAAATCCTGAAAGCATGACCTGGGATTTATCAACATTATTATATTTTACAATATGATGAAGTAAGCGAAATATATTGTAAGTATTCAAAATTTAATTAATGCAGTTAAAAATAAATTACATTGCGCAGCATAGTATACATGACGACGCTCTCTTGAAGAGAAGAGATGTAACTGTTCAAGTTATTATATCACTGCTGAGTTATCAAAATCCACAGCATTTTGGTCTTGGTGACATTATCAGAATATTAACAAACTTGAGTAGAGCGGACCAAATTCAGTCATAGGTTCTCGTGAATCGGATTTATCTACCCGATTGATGGTCGATTGGTGTCAGATTGAATAATTTATTCTTTGCATAAATTACATTCTTTTTTTCTCTTTTGAAAATTTACAATCTTAAAACTTACATATCGGCTTTGTGAATCCGTTGTACTCATGATTTTCTTTATTTTGATCTTTTTTTTTTTCTTTTTTTTTTTATTGATTTTTATGGCCAATCAGCGCAATCAGAGTGAGACAAACCAAAAATGTACTATTTCATAATTTTACATTAACCTTCTTTCAAGAAAACAGATTACGTGTACAGTCAAAAAAAAAAAGCATGGAAATGAGTATGAGTTATTTTGATAATCGATGTCATCCGTTGATCCTTTAGCCGGTCCGGAATGTGTGACAGGTTACGCCGAATATATTAGAGTAAGGAGTGATGTTTAGCGTCATTTAGCGTCACATGATCACGTGCAAGCCCGAGGTTCAAAAACACTAGCCCTGTTCATTTCCGGTCGGATGCATTTTTCGGTCGGATTTTGTTGTACAAAAATTATCCAATAAAATTTTTTTATTTTCGATCGCAAATTGAACTGCTTTAGATTGAAATTTAGTTCGAACTCCTTATATTGATATATATTTTTTTCTTAAATGTCACGTAAACAGAAATTATCTAATTTTGGTTGGTTATTTTTTGGCGTTCGACCAAAAAACCCCCCAAAAAAATTGGGCTAAAAGTTCAGAAAATGGTTGCGTTGTACAAACTGATCAGCCCAATCAAAATTAACTTAAATCTGACCGAAAAATGCGACCGACCGGAAATGAACAGGGCTACTATTTATCTGAGGGACAGTTTTTTTTAGTGGTCCAACCCTTATTTGTCACCTGTTATTGTCACCGATTTCGGCGTAACCTGTCACACATTTCGGACGTGCGATCCTTTATGTATCACGTGCATCACTGACGAATGGTAACGGTTTCAATGCATAATTATTGAACACTTTATATAGGAATTTTAAAAATAACTTGCNACCAAAAATGTACTATTTCATAATTTTACATCAACCTTCTTTCAAGAAAACAGATTACGTGTACAGTCAAAAAAAAAAAAAAAAGCATGAAAAGCATGGAAATGAGCATGATGCAATGTTGTTATTTTGATAATCGACGTCATCCGCTGATCCTTTATGTATCACGTGCATCACTGACGAATGGTAACGGTTTCAATGCATAATTATTGAACACTTTATATAGGAATTTTAAAAATAACTTGCACCTTCTTGTTTCACAAAAAATAAAATGTGGTTTTTGCTTGCATTAAATTCAGAGATTGTTTACCTTTTTAATTTTTCAGTTGACTATATTTTTATTTTCTAAATTTGAAACGATCAATATTAAAGTACCATAATTCACAAATTCTAATTACAGAATTTTGTTTGCTTATTTTGGATAGATTGAAGTGAATATTATGCAAAAATTGATGGATTGTGAATTTTCTTTTTTTCTATTACGAAATCTTAATTGATTAGCCTACAGGGTATTTTTTCCTATTAAGAGATCAGTGTGAATTTTTAAAGTTTTAAAACTCATTGTCCAAATAGGGGTAAATTTTTTGTATCAGTTTTATCAAAATTGAATTTTCTTAATAGGGGCCATACGTGTGTCACCCGCTAAACCTAAATCGATACTTTCCGATTAATGTATAGTAGGTATAGTGGCTTTTTTATTGGTATACATATTATTTTATTAGGTTTACACTAAAATATTTTTATTATTTTAAAAAAATCTATTTAAAAGGCCTTATTTTTTGAACATTAAAAATATAAAAGTTTCTCTCTTAAGATAAATATAGTTTTATAACATATCTAATATACATATTTGGTGCAATTATCACTTTGAAGAAAAAAATAATAAACTTCAAAATTTTTTTATAGTGCAAAAAGTTTTTACGATGGCTCATGGATTCGATTTGGATTTTACTGAAATTATTAATGATGGAAACAATCATTTACAACAACCAACAAATGTGATCCAAATGGAGCATTCTCGAATGGAACGTAACCAAATGGAACATAATCAAATGGAACATACTCCAAATGTTCCATATAATAATTACTTTAATATTTCTCGCGACCCTTCAGATACGACAACTTACACAACTGGCAATTACGAAGAGTCCTCCTCTCTTATGGATAATCAACTTGGTACTTCAGCTCAATACGATGATCCTACGTTCACTGCATCATATTACGCGCCGCAGTATAACTCACCTCTTGATGATATTCAATTCCAAAATACTCCTCAACCGAATAATTCTGAAATCTTTAGACTTAGTATTCCCGGATTTAAAATCATCGTTATACCTAATTCTGTAAATTTAGCTAATTTGGATTTACAAAATTTGTTTCCACAAGACTCTACCCCAAATATCGTTACTGAAAACTCGCAAACTCACTCTCAAAATACTTTTGGTTTAAATGATTCATTTGATTTTAATAACTTTAGTAACTAAATTTTTTCATCTAATTTATATTCTTATTATTTCTTATCTGTATTTTTTATGTATTTTTATTATGTATTCATTTTCATTATATTATATAAATAAATATTTAAAGTTGACAAGCCGCAGTTGGAATATCTCGAATGGCATCAATTTAAATAAAAGAATGGTATTCTTAATTAAATTATCAATGTTAATTTATGGACTTTTTTTTCAATATTTCTAAAAACATTATAAGGACTAAAATTATTTTGATATATATCGAGTGAACTCTATTGTTATGTAAAATGTATAACAGTATAGAAAATTATTGTATCGTTTAATTAGTCTATGGTGATTAGTTCAAATAATAGGAAATAAATGAAAAAAAGGATGTTTGCTTTTCTTAAATTAATGCATTTAACATAGGTCATACGATATGTTATTTGATTTGACTCATAGAATATCAAAAAAAATGCTTCTTTATGAAATTCTAACTACAATAATATCTCAAAATATTAAAGTCATTAGTAAAGAGCGTTAAATCTAGAACTAAAAAGCAAAAATCCTTGACTTCAATGAATATTATTAAGCTCTACTGCAATCCTGTATAAAATTTTCAACTTTTCATTCCAAATCATTGAGTTAAAAGTTAAAACTATTATCTATTATTACTTAAACTGCCATTGTTTGCATATTCAATTACATTTTTATACAATTAGAGTATAGGACAAGATAGATAGAACGCAACTTGAATCACGACAGATCAAATCATTTTAGAAGAAACGTAATCTCCATTAATATACATTAGTGATTGTTGCATTTCGTAAACTAAAAAAACCAGAGAATTTAAGTTAAAATAAAAAATTTGGCGGTTCAAATATGCGCGTGGAAAAATAAAATAATCTTACCATATTAAAATTGATGAAATTGGGCAAGTAAGTAAATAAATCATCGATAAAGATGATGGGTGTGAAAATATCCCAAAAAATAAACTATTAAAAAAAAATTTTTTATTTTTATTGTAAATTATTGGATTTATATATATATATAAATTACACATTACACATTTATTTTGCTTTATTTACAACTTGGCAGAACTTATGAAAGAACCTAAAATTTAATATTACAAATTATATTTAAAATTGAAATTTTGCTAAATATATAATTATTAGTAATTAATTTATTCTATTTTCTACTTGAGGGTTTATTTTAATATAATTAAATTCGTCGACTATGATAGTGATTTTGTTATTCGCAAAAATTGAAACGGTTCGACCAAATTAAAATATTTGTTGTGAGAGTTTTATGGATATTAATTTTGAATTCTAGGTAATAGAAGATATTAGACGACATAAATTCTGTTGCGCAAAAGGTCCTGAGGCTTTTACCATTCAGACAAATATCTTATAATTAAAATGCTGGTGGGAATTAGGATTTACGTTTCCTGAGTTTGTGATCTTTCTTTCACTGTTTCTTGGAAAGATCATTGCTTTTGATTCAGGTATTATTAAAATTTATATTCGAAATTTCATATATAAATATTTAATAGTTTTTTGTATTATCATAGAATATGATATATATCATAAATTATTGAAGGAAATGACTGCATATGACGATTCAATTTATGAGTTGAATATGTATAAAATAAAGCCAGCTCAGGTGTTTGGAATTTTCTTAATATTAAGCATGAAATATTTATGGGAGATTACTAACAAGTCTTTTTTCGTAGTTTTACGATTTTCCATATTCTCGTGTAATTAGAGAATCAATGAAACCAAATTGGATGAACGATTTTGGTGTCCCTCCAACTTATGAACAGAAATCAAATATTGAATCTACTTTAGGTAAGTCATATTATTTTATTAATTCCAATAATATTATATTTACTATTTATTCTTATTTTCTTTAGTTGGAGGGCCGTTGTTATATAAATCGACGGAGGGTAGTTTAATATCTTTTAATATAAAACCTAAGAGCAAAAATGTCATTCGAGTAGATAAAGAAGTTAGGTTTGTATATATATAATAATATTATAGTCATTATTAAATAATTCTTTATTTCAGTTATTAAACTAAAAACAACTTATATATTTAATTAATAAAAAGATCAAAGACAGTAAGTACTTTTATTATATTGAGGAACTTTTTTCTTACTATGAAAAACAAAAATTATTAAATTCGATTCTATTTAGTACTTAAGTGGACTGGATTTAATAGGTGGTGCATGGGGATTAATAGCAGCACTATACGCATTTCTTTTTGGTAAGTTTTATTCGCTTATTTTATTAAGAAATAAATATAATTATAAAATATAATTTTGAAATTTTATCTAAACATTTTTTTTTTTTGATAATATAATGATTAAAAAAGTAAAGAAGCGATAAGCTCAAAATAAAATGAAAAAACCGCTTCAGTGGCTGGACTTTTATATCAAAAATTTTAGATAAAAATATCTGCTTTTGTCAATCATCATCACACTTCTTTAACGTATGCAGGATTATGCGTGAAGAGATCATTATGAATTCACTTTAGATGTACAGGAAAGTTTATTGGTTATTTTTACATTGGATGACCACATGCTAACATGACGCTTTATTAACAAAAGTTTTTTTTTTTTTGTAATATTTTTCCTTTATCTTATAATTATAATAATTATAAACTATTTTAGATACCCAAATATCTCAAACATGACGTGAAAAGATAAACTATAAAGGAAATAATAACTTGACTTATTTGTCTAATTTCTTTTAGAAAAAACAAAATATTTATTTTTTAATTAAAAATATGTCTTGTTACGCTGGAGAGTAACATTTTAATACTCAAACTAATGGTAAGCCGGAACTTTACTTATATCTTTAGTTCGAATACTCTTTTTCATTTTACGATATTGTTTAAGCATATGCAACGAAAATATATGTTTAATATCTTAAAATTTTTTCATAACAAAATTTGAAATATGAATATTCCTAATCATGACTCGTTTTAATCGATTTTTCGATTGTAATGGATTGGTATTACATTATTCTAAAGCAGAAAAAGAAAAAGGTAACTCAATTTGCTAACTGATGGAGGTAGATAGTGGCCAAGTGTATCATGAAGATAATGGATGTGAAAATATCACTAAAATTTCATGATCTGAAATTCAAGTTAAAAGTTAAACTAATTCTCTGATTTTTTTTTAGTTTACTATTACTGATTTATATTAATTATTAATGGAGGCTGTGTTTCTTCTAAAATGATTTGATATTGTCCCTCTTTGAGCTATACTCAAATTGTGAATATGTAAAAATGATAGTTTAAGACAACGCTTAAATAATAAATAATAATTTTAATTCAATGATCCGTAATGAAAAGATGTAAATTTTATACAGGATTGCAGTAGAATTCAATAATATTCATTGAAATCAAGGATTTTTACTTTTTAGTTCTAGAACTACTTTAAAATATTGATATATTATTATAGTCAAAGAAGCATTTTTTTTTAATATCCTATGAGTAGTATATTTCAATACCTCATAAAGATCAAATGGCGACTAACGTTACACCTTTTTTTAATAAAATATTATATTGTATACCCTTTGTTAAATGCATTAATTTTAAGATTATATATAGATTTATAGATTTTTCAAAATTATTTTTTAATTTTCTTTATTTTCAAAATAATTCATTTTGGTAAAAAAATGTAGAAATGTCAACAACTAATTATTTTAAGTCGCAATTGCTATTATAAATACATATACATTCATTTGATTTTCTTTCAAACTATGGATAAAAAATTAATTTTTTTCAATATAACCTATTCTCCGACATGCAGGTTTGTTTAAAATTATGAGTTAAAGTTCTACATTGAATTGTTCTGTCTTTAAAAATATTTGATTGATGATATTTAAGTACCAGATTCTCTTGTAAAAATAAATTAATTAAATTATCAATAATTTATGGACTTTTTCAATATTTTTTAAAGTTTAGAACATTAAAGAATTAAAATTATTTTGAAACATATCACATAAAATGTACAGTATTATAGCAGTATAAAAAATTATTATATCCATTCTGATATGATTATAGGTCTGATCTACAGTTTAGACTTTTTTTTACAATGAAAAATACACTTTTTAATGGAGTTATTCCGTTCAAGCAGGCTGAAATATGTATTTGTTAACACTCCACTATGGAAAAACAGCACGTCCTCGAACTTTTTAAACTAAAGGGAAAGAATCCACAAATAGAGTGTAACTTTCGAATGTCTGATAATGAATTTCCAAAAACATTAGATCCAGAGAGAATAAGATACCTTAAAAGTCTAAACCCAGAACTTGAATCATCATTGGGTCCTAAATGCGACTTAAACTTGCCATACATTTGCGATAATTGTCTTCATCGAGTTTTGCACGGCAAGTTTTCGAGTTGGACCAGTGGGAATGAACTAATTGATAGCTTCATACAGGAAACACAACTTTTTTCTCCATACGAACGGTATCCTGAATGGGTTCCACACAACTCTTTGTCCCAAATAAAGAAGATTGGTGAAGGTGGATTTGGTACGGTGTTTTCTGCAATGTGGAGTTGGGGAATTAAATCATCTCTGGAAGAAGAGGATAAATATGATAAGACGAGAAAAAATGTATATCATTATCGAACTGGTCCATGTACAGTTGCTCTAAAGAAACTGAAAGGTGAAATGGAATTTACGCAAACATTTCTTTTAGAGGTACAAATTCCCTATAAATTAGAATTATTATATATATGATGGTAATTTCTCTTATTACATATTTAGGTTCAAGCCCAGTTCGATTTTTGTCATTTGTACGGGATCACACAAGATCCCTCGACATTAGAATATATGTTTATAATGCGTTTTGCACCACAAGGTGATCTTCGACGATATTTATTGCGAAATTTTGATAACCTTACATTACCGAATAAGTTGGGTATAGCCCAAACCATATGTGCTGAACTTGAAAAAATTCATGCAAAAGGATGGGTCCACGGTGATCTCCATAGCGGAAACATTCTTTTACTAAACGAAGAAAATGCATTCATTTCCGACTTTGGAATGTGTCGACCAACTGATACAGTAGAAGCAAAAGACAAAGTGTATGGGGTCATTTCCTATATTGCGCCAGAAATAATTCGTGGCAATCCATATTCTCAAGCAGGCGATATTTACAGCCTTGGAATTCTCTTATGGGAGTTAGCTTGTGGAATCATTGCATTTGCGGACCGTTCTCATGATGTAAATCTAATATTGGATATCTGCGATGGTCTTCGCCCACAAACATGCCATTACTCTCCTCTAGTATACAATGATATTATAAAGGTGTGTTGGGATCCTGATCCTTCGAAACGACCATCCGCGAGTGAAATATTAATATCCATCGAAAGATTGTGCAAATTTAGGCGGTCAAGGGATGATTTTGGATATCCAAATAGTGAATATCTAATTGAAATTAGTGGTGATTTTTTTAAAGATTATCAGTCAGGATTTTTTGATCCAGATTATGATTTAATAAAATATTCTGATAGTGAAATTCATCAGCAGTTGAAAATTGCCCACAAAGCCTGTCGAATTTATATTAAAATGAAATGGAAACCGAATAAACCTATTCATTCAGAAGCCGTTTACACTAGCCGTTCATTTAGTTATAAGAGTTTGCAGGATGAGATTGATATCTTGCTAGTCAAAAGTAATCGATCATCTATTGTTGGATAGTATTACTTTGTATCTCCATTACTGAAAGTATCTTAGTTAATATGCTGATATTTTATTAATGTGACTAGACGTCATCACTTTTGCGAAGAAACAAATAATGATAATCATAATATTAAATAGTTTTTATGTCGTATATCGTAACCGCGTAATTTAATAACATATTTTTATTCTTATTGAGGATTTGACGTAAAATATTTTTAAACAATCTTTCTTGATATAAATGATACTTCGTAATATAGATCACTAAGAATAAAATTGTGTGCTTACAACAAACTATAATTCTAATGGTATTTGAGTTACGACGAGACTGTGATTTTTTTATTAAAACGCATAAGAACATTTCTCTCGAAATCGAAGAATTACTAGATATAATCCAAAACTTGCTAAAAAATAATCCAATGATGAAAAATGAGAATTTTTCGTATTAACAATTATTTTCGAATAGCAAAACGACAGAATATAAGCATGAAAACCATGCTTATTCTAAATTATACAAGTCAATTCCGAAATACCCGCTGCTCTGTGAAATCATGCTAGGACTGCAAAGAAAAAATACAATTTTCGAGCCGTATATAACGAAAAAAAATAGTTAATAAAATACAACTTATAAGTGAGAAATGGACAAAGACGTAGTAACACTTTAGTAATATATACCGGTTGTGATAGTGCCATAAAGGTAATCGAAATCATGATCGTTCTGTTTTCATTTTTTTTATTTAATCGTTTCAAACGAGCTCAAGTTAAATTGATATTTTGAACGAAGCCTTCACGTATTAGTCGATGCACTTTGTCTTCCACAACACAAATAAGTTTCAGATACCTAGAATAAAATATAAATGTTAAATTTATTACATGAGAAATTCATACAAAGTGGCGAAACATACGATCAGAATAATTTGCCAGTTCGTAGAGAGTCTTGTAGGAATGATGCTATTTAAGCCATAAAGCATCATAAACCAGAAAGATAATCCTCACCTTGATCACATAATCGACTCATCCGGAATTCCAATTATTTCGTATTTTGTCTCATGATAAAATTATAAGATCCTTATAGACTAAGACTAAAGACCCCTAAGCTATTCTCAGTTCTACTAGTTTACAGAATGAACAATATATTTCCTTCAGAAATACCCTCCAAGTATCTTCTATGCAATTTATGAAATACTCATTATCGTCTTAAATTTGGATTCGAGGAGTGAATAACTGGAAAATGTATGTATCAGTGAGTCAATGCTGTATTTTGCAAATTCTTCCTCAATGGATAAACTTATTCCAGTATTAAGAGACCGGATGTTGTTCTTTTCTTCATACCTTAATAAGTCGAAGATTTTTCGCTAGCCCAAACTAAATCTGTAAAAGTTCTTCGGCTATTTGAAAATGTACAATCATTTGATCTATTTATTTTCCAATATTCTCATTGCTCCTCGCTAAATTTCAAAGTCTTCTTTCTCACGCCAGAAACCGAACAAGTTCTTCGTTTAATTTTCTGCTAGCGTGTCTCGTTTTCTATCGTTGCACGGCCATTGACTGGAGTAGATTTTTTTTTTTTTAACGCATAATAACAACTTTATCAAGAGATAAGAAGATCAAAGGAGAATAGTACATTTACTATATAAAAGATCATTCAAATCTAACCTAGCTTAAATCAACCCGAAGGCAAATTCCCAATCCTAAGATTTAGACGTAGCCCAATCCGTTAAAAAGAGAAATTTTACTACCTTCCCCCTATACACCGTCACCGAAAAAACGCCAAACAAAACCAGATGGGGCAATAATTGACTGGAGTAGTATTTTTTCATACGTATATTTACGTTGTAATTCCCTTTTAGAAAAATCTAAAATAAAAAGAAAAGAAGAAATTTATTTGTCTTTAAATTACAAAATGAATCAACTAGAAAAGAAAATATCAAAAAAACTTGATAGTTACTCTTACATTTGTCAATTTATTGAACAAAAAAATCCTTCTTTTGAAAAGATCATTCCAAATGGATAGTTAATTTCGTTCAGAAGAATGAAGTAATTTTTTTATTTTTTTTTGTCCAAAATAGAAGTAACTTTTTTTGCTTCTACTTGAACTTTTATAGAAAGAAATTCTTTCATGATTTGTCCCATTAAAAACCTTTTGCTACTTTCTATATATATTTTTCTTTGAATTATTGATTGATAGTTTTTTTCTATTGCGAACAAAGATAAACTATCCCGTTCCTTTTGATTTTTTTTTGATTAGTCGACTAAAAAATTTACAGAAAAAAAATGTGGCAACTTCGAAAAAAAGGGAGTATATAAAGTGGTACAATAATTATGTATATATCGTAGTACAGAGGATCCTTTAACCAATTTTTTGCTCGGTATCACGAATTTATATTTGGAGATTTTTCTGACATTTATGATTTATCAATAATAGAACGAACCTAATTGAAAATTTATAATGTTACAAAACTCTGTCATTTACTTTGAAATAATTTTTCTAAAAGAATTAAACCCAAAGGTGAAAACTTAATGGTGGTAATCTATGTGACCAAATACACGAAGTTCAATTTAATTAATTCTCTGGTTTTTTTAGTTTACGAAGTTGTAACGATGTATTTGATGGAGGTGTTTCTTCCCTTTGAGCCATTGATTATATCTATCTTGTCCTAACTCCTAATGTCCTAATTATTACCTATCAAAAATGTAGTATACATAAAACGGCAATTTAATGCTACGCTTAAATAATAGTTTTTAATTTAATGATTTGGGACCCTACTTCAAATACATATATTGGCTGAAGTATATATAAATTTTTAAATTTATACTGATAAATATTAAAATAAAGTATACATCAAATTATCGATATCTCAATAAATTATTCCATCACATATTTAATTGAACGGTATAATAATTTTTATACTACATACTATCAGCTATACATTTCATGATAAATAGATCTTTTTTGTCTATTTCAAAATAATTTAAATTATCTAAATTTTGGAAAATATTGAAAAAGTCCCTATTTATATGGCATTGATAATTTAATAACAGAAATGCCATTCGCGGTTTTTTATTTTTATGACTCTAGTATTTCACATCAATGTCAAATGAGTGAAATGACAGGAGGTTTAATGTATAATTTTAGTTAGCATCGGGATAAGAATTCTATCTCATTACCGAAAATTCTGCTACACAATTCAAATACACTTACTTTAGTAAAAGTTCTAGAATCATATTTTAAAGATGGCAAAGAGAATTAATTGTATTTGGAGTCTTTAATTCCTAAAATTTAAAAGAATCCGCATGTTAAAGAGTGGGTATATTGAAAAAAAAATTTTTTTTTTTAGCTAGGGAGCAAAAAACCACAAGAACGAATGAAATACATTAAATAATAACTGCGGCTTAAAATAATTGGTCAGATAAATATAACTTTATTAAACAATATAATGAAAATGATTACATAATAAAAATATTTAAATATCAAATTAGAGAAAAAGAAAAGAATATTGTTTAGTTACTAAAAGTTATTAAAATTAAATGAATCATTTAAATCAATAGTATTTTGAGAGTAAGTTTGCGAGTTTCCAGTAACGATATTTGGGTTTGAGTCTTGTGGAAACAAATTTTGTAAATCCAAATTAGCTAAATTTACAAAATTAGGTATAACGATGATTTTAAACCCGGGAATATTAAGTCTAAAGATCTCAGAATTATCCGTCTGAAGAGTATAGGAGTTATTTTGGAATTGAATATCTTCAAGAGGGGAGTTATACTGCGGCGCGTGATACGATGTAGTAAACGTAGGATAATGGTATTGAGTTGAAGTACCAAGTTGATTATCCATAAGAGAGGACTCTTCGTAATTGCCAGTTGTGTAAGTTGTCGTAACTGAAGGGTCGCGAGAAATATTAAAGTTATTATTATGTGGAACATTTGGGATATATTCCATTTGATTATGTTCCATTTGGTTAAGTTCCATTCGAGTATGCTCCATTTGGATCACATTTGTTGGTTGTTGTAAATGATTGTTTCCATCATTAATAATTTCAGTAAAATCCAAATCGGATCCATGAGCCATCGTAAAAACTTTTTGCTCTATAAAAAATTTCGAAGTTTTCTTCAAAGCGATAATTGAATCAAATATGTATATTAGATATGTTATAAAACTATATTTATCTTAAGAGAGAAACTTTTAAATTTTTGATGTTCGAAAAATAAGGCCATTAAATAGATTTTTTTTAAAATAATAAAAATATTTTAGTGTAGACCAAATAAAAAATATTTTTGTAACTTAAAATGTCAATTATTTTAGTGTAATTTTATACGAAAAAGAAGATGAAAGTATCTAGATTAAAGAGATTAAAGTAATATGATATAATTTAAAAAAAAATTGAGAACCACAACAGATAAATATTTTGAGGCACAATGATAGGGCGGGCACAAAGATAACAACTTATTAGTGCGTGATAAGATAACGTTTATCATCGTAGATCATTAACCAAGTAAACCAAGTAAATATTAATATCATCAATATTCATCGTAAATCCATTTAACCAAGTAAAATTATTTTAGTGTAACGTTTAAACCGACGAATAAAAAATGTTTATTTGTGTCCTTTATTTTATAAGCAACTATTTTAGAAACCAAACATGACGTGAAAAGATAATGCTAACTAAAAAATAATAACTTGTAGAATAAAACCACGAATACTTAAGACAGTCTTGATTTTTTTATTTTTTAATTGAAAATATGTATTGTTACGCTGGAGAGTAACATTTTAATACTCAAACTATGGTAAGCTGGAACTTTTCTTAATAACTTTAGTTCGAATACTCTTTTTCATTTTACGATATTGGTTAAACATATGCAACGGAATTATATCTTAAAATTGTTTCATAACGAAATTTGCAATATGATTGAAATCAAAAGAAATATGAATATTCCTAATAATGACTCACTTTAATCGATTTTTCGATTGTAATGGATCGGTATTACAAATTTATAATACTTTTTCTTTGAAATTTATTGACATTTATAATTTATCAATAATAGAACGAACCTAATTGAAGTTTTTGAATGTTATAAAACTCTGTCATTTACTTTGAAATCCCAAAGGTGAAAAACTTATACATTTGGTTTATCACAGTCACCAATATATTTTTGAGTAGCAACGTTAAGACTTTCTTGCATACGTTCAGTATAAAGTTTTAACTTATTTATAACAAAATTTATACTGTAGGTTCAAAATAACTTCACCTCGGAAAGATTCTCTTACTACAGAACATAATTCTTTATATGACATATGTGGGTGGGATATTTGTTAATATATATATTATTTAAATTATATTAATCTGTGGCCAAATATATCAAAAAATACTCGAAATTCAACAAGAAATTTTTTGCATACTTGCGTGATGTTCTCCAAATCATTGATAATGATGAAGGATGCGAAATGTTCTCAAAAGGTAAAAATATTTCACTGAAATTTCGTGATTTGAAATTCAAATTAAAAATTATTTAATTCTCTGATTTTTTAGTTTACGAAGTGGTAAAGATGTATTTGATGGATGTGTTTCTCACCTTTGAGCCATTGAATTGTGATTCAAACTTATCTTGTCCTAATTCCTAATTGTACCTATCAAAAACGTAATGGAATATACATAAACGGCAATTTAATGCTACGCTTAAATATTAGTTTTTAAGATGAAAGTTGGAAGTATATATATATATATATATTTAGTACCATATATGAAAGAAAGCATTCTTTTTGATAAAATGATGTATTTATACTCTACTTCAAATGCGTATATTGTCTAAAGTATATATAAATTTAAATTTATACTGAAATAAATACAAATAATGATAGAAAACTGAAGTAGTTGCATTTTTTGATCATCACATATTTAACTGAACGATATAATAATATTCATACTTCTATCAACTATATATTTCATGATAAATAAATCTCCTTTTTTTTATATTTTTTATATTTCAATTATCTAAACTTTGAAAATATTGATTCGTGATTTTTATTATTTTTATAAGACTCATCATTAATTTGAAATGTCAAATGAGTGAAAAGACAGAAAGTTTAGAATATATAATGTATAATTTTAGTTAGTATTAGAATAAGAATTCTACTTCATTATCGAAAATTCTGCATTCAAAGTCAGATTCAGAAATAAAAGTTAAAAAATACATCACTATACTTGCTAAGATATAGAAATTTTAAATGAGGAATTTAAAATACCTATTGCATGGGTTAATGATAAATTAACCTTTTTAAAAATCAATAATTCAAACAAAATCAGTTTGATATTGCTTTATCTGAAAATCACTATTTTCTGTTTGTATTCCAATATTCAAAAAGATTTTGAATTTTTTTCTTTTCATAAACAATTAATTTATGATACCAATAGTGTTCAATCCATATTAAGTAATTCTTTTGACTAGACTTGATGGCATTTTATAGTTTATAATCAAGATGAAAAGTGGGTATTTATGCATATAAATCAATAAATCTCTTCTATATTTGACTTTTTAATAATGAATTTATTTTAGTCTGTATAATGTTTAAGTGTTTGAACAAAATAAAATTATGCACTAGCTGATAGTGCCGAAAATTGCAAAAAAAAATTATAGTATTTATACCACACACTACATAAAAGACAAGCTAAAAGTTTATAATACGTATTGTAGATCACACGAAAATGATAACTTACATTAAGTTCACACTATAATCATTTTTCCGAAATAAAATACACATGAGCATTACAATTTAATATTTATGTTATACGTACAAAGAATGCGAGTTACATGAGTCATATAATAACAATAATAAATTTTTTGATGTGGCACTCTATATATTAAAAATGTCCAAACCAAAATGGACAGGATCCATTAACATTGTACGTCTTGCTAACTAACTGTTGAAACTTTGGAGTGCAAAGGTATCTTATTTGAATGTTGCTTTTTTTGTCAGTGATCCCAGATTATAAAGCTAGTATAGAGGTTTGCGAAAAATATTTTGTATTCCTAAAGATAATTCTCTACTAACTATAAATGATGACATATCCTTTGAGGATACTAGAATTAATACTTGTCCAATATGAACCATAGTATATATTTCTAAGGTCCAACAACTAACTCGTCTCGAAATTTTTTTTTTGTTTTTATTAGAATTAAAAAAATCCAAAGTTTCATCCACTTTCTTACTCAGCGTTTTAATTTTAAATTCCTAAGTTGTGACAGTTGCCTATTAAAAAGCGTTTAATAATCAAGTTTATTATAATCTATAAATAACTAACAAGTGATTAAAAGAATAAAATAGGAAAAAAAACAAGATGATAATTTTTCTTACCAATGCATCAATGCATTGAAATCTCAGCACTTTTATATTCGCATCCTTGTCAATAGATGAATGTCATCGTCGAATTGATTCTGAACATCTCATGATTTTCACTCAGCCATCTCGAGATGTTCAGAATCTGTATTACGTTCGCCGTCCGCAGCTGATTGTCCTCTATCAATTTCTATATCTTTCATAAACGCACCTGATGAATGTGATCATTATAATTTTTCTTTGATGGTGAGCTAATTTCACCCACATATAATTGGCAAATGATGGAAACTATGAAATCGTTGCTTTGTGCGACCTTCAACTTAAAGTTTTTGATCTTTGAATAAGGTACATAGCCGATTTCTCTTTCGAATAAGCAGATCTCAGATAGAGTTCAAAAAGTTGGACATTTACTTTTCAATCATTTGAATGAGATCGTATTCAGGACGCTGAGAACCTTCTTTATTAAAATTATACTGAAGAATTTGTTGGGCTATTTTGAAGACTTGAAAGCCTGCTGAAATGAAAAAGTCTCGTCGATGATGTGCTATTTCACATTGTTTAATAAATTATTATTTGTGAAATATGCCCTTCAACGTAATATATGGCAATTATTTCAAAATATTTTATATTTATTAAACATCTAGAAATATATTTAGAACAGGTGATGTTAATTCTGATTATATACAATTAGTTAAAAACAAAAGACGACTTCATACCTGTAATGTTTTACTACGATATTTTAAGAAATTTAATTGAGTCTAAAAAATATTTAAGATTTGGTAAATTTTTCAAATTTTCTTAATTCTCATTTTCAAAAAAAAAATTAACCTTGAAATAGTTTGTCAGGCGTTTGGCCTCTTTGTAAATATGTCAGAAATTGAAGTTAGAAGGGAGATAATTATCTCGTAATTTGATCAACCGTCTCACCTTTTTGAAAGGAATTTTGTATCACATATGTTGTGACGAATCATTTTTTGAATAAAAATGTGACCTCTATTGGGAAATTTTGTACTATATATATTCTCACGTGATCAAACTTTTCGGTAAACGTAGGACTCTGGATAATTAGATAAGAATAATAATGTAAATTAGAATCATTCAAACCAAAAATATATTCTTAGAGTGAGTTTATGAATTATCAGTAACGATATTTGAGGTTGAGTCATGTAAAAACAAATTTTGTAAAATTAGCTAAATTTACAGGATTAAGTATAACGATAATTTTAAACTTGAGAATGTTAAATCTAAAGATCTCAGAATTGGCGACACATAATACGATGTAGTGAACGACTGAACGTAGGATGATAGTATTGAGTTGAAATATCAAGTTGATTATCTATAAAAGAGGACCCTTCGTAGTCATATTATATGGAACAGTTGGAGTATGTTAAATCCAAATCGGATCTAAAAACTTTTTGCTCTACTATAAAAATTCTTAAAGATGTTTTCTCAAAATATATTATTTTTTTTCTTCAAAGCCAAATTCTTTTTAATATGTATACTAGATATATTATAACACTATATTTTATGAAACCGAAAAAAAAAAAAATTTCGTTATTTTTTAATAATTTATCACATATACTGCTTACATTATAGGCTTATCTATATTAGGATTTTGAATGAATACTCGCGACAAACGAACTGTAAATCATCACAACTTAAAACAATTGTAAATCATCACATATTAGAAAAACATACTGTTAATTATTTTTTTTTTATAGTTTAAATCAAAAAACAAAACTGATTAAATATAATGTGCTACCTCAGATAATCATGAGAGATCTTTTTTTCATTCATCATATTCATCATTGTAAAATTGCTTATTATATTCCTATTTACTACATTTCTAAAAAAGAAGAAAAAGAAAAAAATTTTGGAAATATTGTAGTTTATAAAGTATTGAGTATTATGTACGGAAATAAGTACGATATATCCGGGTATTTTAAATAATCCATGTAAGGTGATACATAGTAATAAGTGGGCTGAAAATTTTTTGCTAGAAATAAGTTTTATTTATTACTTTTTAAGTCTTTAGCAAGGTTTAATAACTTTAACAACGTGAGCACACTTTCTTTGTAATTACGTAAATTTTTCCTCTTGTTTTATGAGGAGCATTTTGAACAACTATTTTAGAAAGCCACCCAAATATTTTCAATCACAACAATTTTAACGTGAAAAAAATATAATAGAAATAATAATTTGTAAAATAAAAACATAAAGAACACTTAATTTCATAGTATGAAATTTCTAATAATTTTTTTTTAATTGAAAAATATGTCTTTGTTACACTGGAGAATAACACTTTAATACCCAAATTAATAGTAAGCTGGAATCTTCATTAGCGTTAAAACTTTGATTTTGGTGCTTTTCATTTTACAATATTGGTTAAACATATATAGTGGAAATACATGTATATGTTTAATATCTTTTATTATCTGAAAAATAATCCCACAACAAAATTTGACCCTTTAACCGATTTTTGCCAGTAATAGATCATTATCACGAATTTATAATATTTGAGATTTTCTAACATTTATAATTTATCAATAATAGAACGAACCTAATTGAAGGTTTAGAATTCTAAAGCAGAAAAAGAAAAAGGTAACTCAATTTGCTAAATGCTAAATTACTGATAAGATATTTTGCAAAATTTCAATTAAAAATATATTTTTTAATATCAAATTTTTATTAGATAATAAGTTCCTTCATAATTCAGCTAAGATGTAAAAAGAAACAAAAACTGCTGTTTATTTTGAAATAATTTTTCTAAAGAACTTGTATTTATATTGATGACGGTAAATAGTGGCCAAAATGTATCATGAGATAATGGATGTGAAAATATTTCCAAAAGGTAAAAATATTTCACTAAAATTTCATGATCTGAAATTCAAGTTAAAAGTTAAACTAATTCTCTGATTTTTTTTTTAGTTTACGGTTACTGATATATATTAATGGAGGTTACGTTTCTTCTAAAATGTTTTGATATTGTACTCTTTGAGCCATTGATTTGTGATTGCGTTCGATAAAATAATAAATAATAATTTTAATTCAATGATTCGGAATGAAAAGATGTAAATTTTATATAGAATTGCAGTAGAATTTAATAATATTCATTGAAGTCAAGGATTTTTACTTTTTAATTCTAGATCTAACGCTCTTTATGAATAACGTTAATATTTTGAGATATTATTATTGTTAGATAAAGAAGCATTTTTTTTAATATCCTATGAGTAGTAAATTTTCAATACCTCATAAAGAGATTAAATATCAACTGACGACTGACGTTACACCTTTTTTTAATAAAATAACATTATTGTTTACTCTTTATTAAATGCATTAATTTAAGATAATAGATTTTCAAAATTTTGAAGAATTATTTTCAAAATTATAATAATTCGATTCATTTTAATGAAAAATGTGAAAATATTTTATTTTAAGCCGCAGCTGCTATAAATACATATACGTTCTTGTGATTTGCTTCCAAACTATAGATAAAAATTAATTTTTTTCAATATACCCTATTCTTCAACATGCAGGTTTGTTTAAAATTACGATAAATTTTAGGAGGTAAAGTTCCAATCCAAAAATTTCACATTGAATTGTTCTGTCTTTAAAAATATTTGATTAATGATATTTACCAGATTCTCTTGTAAAAATAAAAAGACATCATTGAATGACGTTTCTTAATTAAATTATCAGTTTCATACAATAAGTTATGGACTTTTACAATATTTTCTAAAATTTAGAACATTAAAGGACAAAAATTATTTTGAAACATATCACATAAAATGTATATAGCAGTATAAAAAATTATTATACTAGGAAAACGGAAACCGTTTAAGTCCTTCGCGTTGCATAACTCACAAATGTTACGTGATCTACGTGTCATTTATTTATTTGGCATATTTCAGGGGTCAAATAGGCAGTGTTACATAAATCGTGATACATATTCAATTGTGGTGACAAAAACGGGGGTTAAAACAAATTTTTGCTAGTTCAGTACAGTAAATAGTCCTTCGCTAACGCTTCGGACAATCATCTGTAATGATTATAGGTTTGGTCTACTTAAACAAAAAAGGTAGAATAACTCGACCTCAAAATGCGTTTATTTTATATCGAAAAGATTTACAAGATAAATTAAAGACAAAAACCTAGAACAGATTTTAAAGAAATTTCAAGAATTGCCGGGAATCAATCATACAAATTCGCAAATAAAACACAATTCTTTTGCCTTAGATCGTTTTAAAGGACCTGCATCCAGCATTGTTGTTTAGTATAATTAGATTTGTATAACTTTATTTATATAATGAATATATAATAAAATCATATTTAAAAAATACAGATAAGAAATAATAATAATAATATAAATTAGATAAAAAGAAATTTAGTTACTAAAAGTTATTAAAATCAAATGAATCATTTAAACCAAAAGTATTTTGAGAGTGAGTTTGCAAGTTTTCAGTAACGATATTTGGGTTAGAGTCTTGTGGAAACAAATTTTGTAAATCCAAATTAGCTAAATCTACAGAATTAGGTATAACGATAATTTTAAATCCGGGAATATTAAGTCTAAAGATTTCAGAATTATCCGTTTGAGGAGGACTAACTGATGAGAAGTTATTTTGGAATTGAATATCATCAAGTGTAGAGTTATACTGCGGCGCGTAATATGATGCAGTGGACGTAGGATCATAGTATTGAGCTGAAGTACCAAGTTGATTATCCATAAGAGAGGAGGATTCTTCGTAATTGCCAGTTGTGTAAGTTGTCGTATCTGAAGAGTCGCGAGAAATATTAAAGTTATTATTATATGGAACATTTGAAGTATGTTCCATTTGATTATGTTCCATTTGGTTAAGTTCCATTCGAGTATGTTCCATTTGGATCACATTTGTTGGTTGTTGTAAATGATTGTTTCTATCATTAATAATTTCAGTAAAATCCAAATCGAATCCATAAGCCATCGTAAAAACTTTTTGGATAAAAAATTTTGAAGTTTTTCTTCAAAGCGATAATTGAACCAAATATGTATATTAGATATGTTATAAAACTATATTTAACTTAAGGGAGAAACTTTTATATTTTTGATGTTCGAAAAATAAGGCTCTTAAATAGAATTTAGTAATTCTGTCAAGGTGACACAAAAAAAAACCCCGCCCAAATATTTTTCATTTTCTTTGATAGTCCAAAAGCAGCTATGCATAAATTTTTTATTTACATAATTTTAAATATTTTTTTTTTCTTAATAAACACAATCACCCCCATTTTTTTTTATACCGAAACGAATGAACCCTAAAAAAAAATGGTCACCATATAAAAAAAAAACACCATATAAAAAAAAACACCATATAAAAAAAAAACACCATATAAAAAAAAAACACCATATAAAAAAAAACACCATATAAAAAAAAAAAAAAATATTTTTTTTTTTTTAAAATGAATGACGATAGCGATGTCATAATATAGACCTAAATTTTGGGGTAGATCTTACTTTAGCCATACTATTATTTATTATTTTACATCCATTTACCTTCAGAAAAAGTTTTTTTTGTAATATTTTTCCTTTATTTTATAAGCAACTATTTTAGAAACCCAAATATCTCAAACATGACGTGAAAAAATAATATTAACTATAAAAGAAATAATAACTGATAACTTGTAGAATAAAACCACAAATACTTAATTTCATAGTATGGCTTATTTTCTAATTTCTAATAATTTTTGGGAGAAAGCAAAATATTTATTTTAATTAAAAATATGTCTTGTTACGTTGGAAAATAACTTTACTCAAACTAATGGTAAGTTGAACCTTTCCTTAGTATTAAAGCTTGGATGCTCTTTTTCATTTTACGATATTGGTTAAACATACTCAACGGAAATATATGAAAATAATTTCATCACAAAATTTGCAATATGATTGAAATCAAAAGAAATATGAATATTCTTAGAAGTCAAGACCCTTTAACCAATTTTTGCTAGTAATAGATCGTTATCACAAATTTATAATATTTTTCTTTGAAATTTACTGACATTTATAATTTATCAATAATAGAACTGAAGATTTAGAATGTTACAAAACCTGTCATTTACTTTGAAATAATTTTTCTAAAAGAATTAAATCCTAAAGGTGAAAAACTTGTATTTATACTGGTGATGGTAATCTATGTGCCCAAATATATCAAAAAAATATTCGAAGTTAAATAAGAAATTTTTTACATGCTTACGTGATGTTCTCCAAATCATTGATAATGATGATGGATGTGAAAATATTCCCAAAAGGTAAAAATATTTCATTGAAATTTCATGATCTGAAATTCAAGTTAAAAGTTAATCTAATTCTCTGATTTTTTTTTAGTTTACGATTACTGATGTATATTAATGGAGGTTATGTTTCTTCTAAAATGATTTGATATTGTCCCTCTTTGAGCCATTGATATGTGATTGCATTCGATATATGACATATATCTATCTTGTCCTATACTCTAATTGTGAATATGCAAGAATGGTAGTTTAAGACAACGTTTATATAATAAATAATAATTTTAATTCAATGATTCAGAATGTAAAGATACAGGATTTTTACTTTTTAATTCTAGATCTAACGCTCTAACTTTAATATTTTGAGATATTATTATAGTTGGATAAAGAAGCATTTTTTTTTTAATATCCTATGAGTAGTATATTTTCAATACCACATAAAGAGATTAAATATCAACTGACGACTGATGTTACATCTTTTTTTTTAATAAAATAACATAATGCATGAATTTAAGTTGATAGATTTTTCAATTATTTTCAAAATTATAATAATTCGATTCATTTTGATAAAAAATGTAGAAATATTAACAACCAATTATTTTAAACCGCAGTTGCTATAAATTACATATATCGTTCTTCCCAAACTATAGATAAAATATATTTTTTTTCTATATGCAGGTTTGTTTAAAATTATGATTAATTTTAGGAGGTAAAGTTCCAAATTAAAAATTCACATTGAATTGGCTGTCTTTAAAACATTTTGATATTTCAGATTAAAGATAATTAATTAAGTACCAGATTCCTTTTGTAAAAATTAAGACATCATGAATGACATTTCTTAATTAAATTATCAATTTCATACAATAATTTATGGACTTTTTCAATATTTCCAAAGTTTAGAACATAATAGATGGCTCTCTCATGATACAGTAAAATGTTAAAATGTAACTGTTCTAAATTTGAGAATTTAATTTCTTCAGCAACGTCAAATTGATTAGATAAATCCGACGGATCAGGATCATCGCATATTGCCGTAACCCGATTTCCTAAACATTCGTAAAATTGAGATGCTGTTGGTCTATTGGATGGGTCAGCATCTAAACATTGTATCATTAATCTTAAAGGACTAAAATTATTAACATATCACGTAAAATGCATATAAGCAGCAGTATAAAAAAATTGTTATATCATTTGTAATGATTAGTTCAAATAATAAGTCTGGTCTACTTAAGATAATAAATATAACTTTATTTATATAATGAATACATAATAAGATATTTAAAAAATACAGATAATAATATAAATTAGATAAAAAGAAATTTAGTTACTAAAAGTTATTAAAATCAAATGAATCATTTAAATCAAAAGTATTTTGAGAGTAAGTTTGCGAGTTTTCAGTAACGATATTTGGGGTTGAGTCTTGTGGAAACAAATTTTGTATATCCAAATTAGCTAAATTTACAGAATTAGGTATAACGATGATTTTGAAACTGGGAATATTAAATCTAAAGATCTCAGAATTATCCATCTGAGGAATATTAACTGATGAGAAGTTATTTTGGAATTGAATATCATCAAATGGAGAGTTATACTGCGATGCATGATACAATGTAGTGAACATAGGATGATAGTATTGAGTTGAAGTACCAAGTTGATTATCCATAAAAGAGGATCCTTCATTATTGCCAGTTGTGTAAGTTGTTGACTTGTTGTATCTGAAGGGTTGCAAGAAATATTAAAGTTATTATTATATGGAGCATTTGAAGTATATTCCATTTGATTATGTTCTATTTGATTATATTCCATTCGAATATGTTCCATTTGAATCACATTTGTTGGTTGTTGTAAATGATTGTTTCCATCATTAATATTTTCAGTAAAATCCAAATTGAATTCATGAGCCATCGTAAAAACTTTTTTTGCATTATAAAAAATTTTGAAGTTTATTAAAGTGATAATTGAACCAAATATATATATTAGATATGTTATAACACTTTATATATCTTAAAAGAAATAATTAATGAAATTCGTAGAAGAAAATGATTTGAAAGAGAGGAACTTTCAATTTTCAGAATGACGCACGTTTTCAAAATAACCAGTTTTATAATCAGTAATATCAACAAGAATGTATTGAAAAAAAAAAATATCTATTCTTAATTTGAATAGTAAGATAGATTTTCAACTTTCTGATTAATTTCTATTATTAGAAGTTTCACCTGAAAAAAAAAATTTATAAATAATTGAATTAATATGAATACATTCTTTTTTTAGTTTAATTTATTTTTTTTTATAAAAAAATATTTGGTACTTTTGCACCCTGTGATACTCATGTGATACACAGTTTAAGTAAATTTTTTTTTTGCTAGAAATAAATTTCATTTATTACTTTTAAGTCTTTTATGTTACTTTAACAATGTGAATGCACTTTCTTTTATAATTATATTTTTCCCTTAGTGAAAAAGATAATAATGTTAATTATATTAAAAATAATTTATTATAGGATAAAATATGAACAATACTTAATGAGTATATAGTATTTAGTTACGGTACTATATTGATAAGATATAGGTATGATACAAAATTATGCTAATCATACTGATCATACTGATATATAATGGAAAATTTCAAACCTCTAGATATATTTATCAAATAATACCTGTATTCTTAGCTCTTATTTGATTTGTGAAACATTTCTGCAGATCTAGTACCAAAAATGATCAGATTTATTAAATCTCGATAATGATTTTGCTGATTTAAACTTTTTCTTTTTCCTTCATCTTTAATTTTTTCCCAACTTATTAACCTTATTATTTTTTATCATTTTTAATAAAATGTTTACACCATATGAATATATAAATTTAGATGAATTTGATGAACCATTGAACTTTGATCCATTTGTAAGTTTAATTAATATTAAATTATCATTATATAAAAAAATTGTAATAGATGTAAATAATAAATACATTTTTATTTAGACAGCTGAAACTAACTTAGATGCAGAAGATGATACAGAATCTGAAATAGCAGTATTTACAAGAGATACTAAAATCAAAGATGTAAGATACTCTCTAGTTCCCATTGAATATCCAGAAACATCAGAAGAAGAAGTTGCATATATTTATCACATTGAAAACTGGGAGGATCCTAAGGCAGTATTTCGTGATGTAAGTAATTTTTAATATAAAGATGTTTTACCAAAAATTAACACTTTTTTTAAAAAAAATAGATCCAATACTCACTCTGTGATGACAGCGGTAGTTTTTCTAATGTTGGATGTCCATTTTTTGGTAAAGATATGGATGATCCAGAAAATAAAAAATGGATCCAGGTTAAAAAGGCAATAAAACATTGTGGAGACATTAAAACTTATCAATTAGCTGGTCCAAATATCTTGAAAGCATTACATACTAAAGTAAATTTTGAAACCAATCCATTTATCTGTGAAGATGATTATAATAATACTTCAGAAAATAGGATTACAAGAATACTTACTCAAACGTAAGTTATAATAGTCTCAAATTATAATTTTATAATGCATTTTTTAATAATCTTTACTTTCTTTTAGGGAATACTTAACAGCAATAAAAACCTGATTTCCTTATCCAAATAATACTTTTACTTGTGGTGGTAAAGCTAAAATTAAACACTATTTAGTTTATACTACAAATCAATGGAGTGAATTCATAGGATGTGATAAATGGAAACCAAATGAAAAAGGTCATATTTCTTTGCAAATTAAGGCTGGTATAGATATTAATCTTTTAAAGTCACTTTTTGCAAATCAGAGAAAAATTTTAGATCAGAAAGTATGCATTTTCATTACTTTTTTATTAATATATAATAATTTATAACTTTACTAATTTATGAATTGTTTTTTATTTATTTAATTTATATAGGATGATACAAATTGCAATATGTTGCACCCTACAGGTTGTCATAAGAAATATTATGGTAAATAAATTCCACTTTTTTTTTTAATATAATTGTATTTATTAAAAAATTAATGACTTTTTTATTAGAATCAGTCCATCTTTTTCAGGGCTTAACTCAAAAACTTGAATTAAAATGACTTCCTTGTTCAGTTGAATTCAAAATACTTACACCTTTAAATTTGCAAAGATTTCCTTTTGTAATTTTGATATCTAAAGGAATTTATACACATCTATCACCACCTTTATCTAAGACTCCTATTTGTATTAAATCAGAGTTGAGGAAACTAATTGAAAATTCTAAAGAACAACTTATAGATATAACTGCATAGCAGTTAGTGTCAGGTTAGTTTAACTTATTTTATTATGCTATATCATTATAAATTTTCTTATTATTAACTTTTTTTTTTAATAATATCATTTGCTTAAAAGTGTATTTGGAACAGAAATGATAGCTGAAATTCATGCTTCTCTCAATAATATTAACAAGCTTTAATATTTAATTGCATGTGTTTATAATCAGCAACATCCACATGGTCAATGGATTCTTGGAGTGGTATATGATTTTTATCAAAATACTTAAGAAATAAAGAATTATATCCAAAAAATTAGTAAGTAAAAATGTTATTAATATATTTATTATTTACTTTACATATAATATAAAATAATTTAATAGGTTTTTTTAATGATGATCATATAATGATTTTATGTATGACTAATGAACAAGCAGCAAAATGCATTGAATTTAAATATTTCAAAGTTGATTTTTCATTTAAACGTATTTATGGTGACATTAATGAATTAGAGTTTAATGCATATGAAGAAAAATCTAGAACTAGTAAGTTAACAATTTTAATTTTTCAATTTGATTTATTAATAATTCTTAATTAATTTAAATGCATTCTTTATAGTTATAACATTTTGTAGAATTTTTACTAATATTGCAACTAAAGAGGCATATCAAAAAATGTTTGAAACCTTTTTTGAAATAGTCAAAAAATTATCTAATAAGCCTGCCCATTTTCGGCATATACATAGTGATAGTTGGGTTTGTGTTTTAGCTGATTTAAATCAAGTTCAAGCCCTTGGATTAGGAAAGGCTATGAAAAAAATGGATCCTACACGAAAAGCTAAAGAACATTTACAATATGTATTTAAATCATGTCATATCTATTATAAAAAGTAAGATTTTTATATTTTTTAAATTAATAATATAACTTTTGCTAATAATTTTATAATTTTATAGAAATGTTGACCATTACCCTTATTGTGCAGATACAAAACATGATATGCTTGAAATTCTTAAAGCAAATTCTTCTGAAGAAATTAATCAAATATTTGGACAAATTAAAATGCGTAATGA